GTCAGCAGCGCACTGAGGGTAAGAGATGATCAGACAACAGACTATTCAGATGCACTAAACCTTCACTTCTCATGTAAAGGTGCAAGAAAAAAACATCAAGCAGATATATCGGAGTAGTTTTCACTGTAATAAAGTTAACTGTCCAAATGCCCACAGTAACTACTCCAACTAGAGTTGTACTGAATGTCATTAACATTATCTTCACATTCAAACCTTCAATAGAGGTGTTTGAATGTCTGTCATCATATTTTAATCCACCTAAAAGAAGAGGGTAAACTTTTTTGACATTGTGGTTATATAAATATTATTATTGGTGTTGGTAGATTGACGCTAAACTTGCCTGTTAATACATGTATTTGCCTTCCTTTGTGTGCGGCAAGTGTGACAGCATTGAACAAATGTTGGTTTGGTCTTAACCCCAACAATAGGGATTGCCGCAGAGTATTTGAAAGATGAAAAAGGACATTTTGGAAATGATCAAATCTAACTTTTTTTAATTAATTGTAATTGTTATGACTGAAGCTTTTGGAAATAGGATTCCTACTTCGGCACCATCAAAATCTGATTCTACAAATATGAAAGTAATAATTATATGTTTGAAGCTTTTCTTTATCTGCATTTGTGCACAAACACCGCATTTAATGTAATGAATAAACATCCAACATATGTTGCTTTGGAATTTGAAGCTTCAAACTATTGGGTACATCACTAACTGTGACTTTATCCCACAACAGATCTACAAAGAATGTTCTCATTCGGTCTCATTCTGTGATATCTGCCATTAGCACTGTCTAGCAGAACATGTGTAACGAAACGCATCACCCCAGACATGAAATACCTGTCGTGGTGTAAGTCGTACAGCTCTTTGAGACAGGACACACTCTGTGCTCCCAGGCTGCGGCGCTGCTCTGCCTGCTCTCTCTTGACCCGCTCCACCTGAGCCGTCTTCAACTCCTCCACCTGAGTCTGCAGGCTCTCCATGTACGTCTGAATCCCCTCAACGGTCTCTGTTAGACTGGAGAGAGGCAGGAGAAAGGAGATCGTGGCACTGCACTTAACCAAATATATAAGTATAATTTAAAAGCCAAATTCACAGATAACTGATGTGGTACCTGTGGATCTTCCGCTGGGCCAGGCGGCTGTCCGTCACCAGCCTGCGGTTGTCATGCTCCAGATCCCGGGCAGCCACGTCCAGCTGCTCGTACACTCTGGCGTGCTGATCGTTCATCTGACGCAGCAGCTCCACCTGCTTGGTCAGGTGCTGGAGAACAAGAGAGGGAAAGGACAAAGACTTAGATTGATTTGTGTTTTTGAGGTTTGTAACAATTGTGTCTTCAATTCATATCATGTTTAAATCAATTTGTTTTCTTCTGCTTTGTATAAATGCAAACTGAATATTTGATGTTTGAGCTGTTGAAAAAACAAAATAAGACATAACAAAAAAAAGGCTACTTTGGGCCCCAGGCTTGTTGGTCAAGCTCTACGGATGTATTCATAGATTTGTTGATTCCAATTAGGAATATGATAATTTTCATTATTTATTATCTGTCCATTCATCTTTTGATTAATCATTTGCTCAATAACATGTGAGATTACAGTGAAAAATGTTGTTTCCAGTGTTTCAAATGTCTTTCAATGTCTTGGTTTGAAATTCCAAAAGCATGAAATCTCCTTATTAAGAGGCTGAAAACGTACATATTTGCAAAAAGAAAATTACTTAAACTGTTAATATATTTTAACAATTATGTGGCAGATTTCTGATGATTGACTTATCACATAGTATAACCCATAAAAAAAAAAGATGGAGGTAGCATATTTTACACGCTTTTATATTTGGTTTTATTTCCCAGGTCAATACATTTTATTACCAACCAGACAAAGGCTTCTTAGACGCAAAGAGCTGCCTGTTAAGAGGGAAATGTTTGAGCTTTTTTGCATGGTGGATAAGAATGCACTCATTATCTATGAAGATGTTCCTGCAATAGCCCTTTATCGTCTTTTAACTAAATGACTTTGATAGAAAACAATGCAACCATGCAGCAGCACAGCCCTGTATCACACTGCAAGAGGATGAAGGTCAGACAGACGTATGGCGATTATCATATCGACTTCAAAAAATCCTTAAGCCAACAGATCCAACTGCCATAAACAAATTAAGGCTCTTATCTTCTTTCACCTGCTGAATGCCATGTCCTCAAACTCAAATAGATAAGCACTGTCTGCATGTGCCAAAATGAAATGTCTGAGCACTGAAATGTAAGGTCCCATTGCGTTCATATATAATCTTAACCTGAAAACCTACAAATGAAGCACAATCTATACTCTGCTTTATTAAAATAGATTGAAATTACCAACAGAGACGTTGACAGATGAACACCAAAAAGTGATTTTGTAATTAGGATGTTGGTTATTTGAACAATGTAGACTTTTATCCCACTACATTATGACACATTGTATTTTTCGTGACTTTTGTAATACTTCCTTCATTTTTTATTTGATGCTGTCTTACTAAGTAAAAGGTGAAAGGTGGCAAATAAGCTGTTTGAAATGTTCATATAATTACGTAAACAGCATCCTGCCAAGAGGGCTTTACTAAGGGCTCAATAGGTCTGTTCAGAATTACATAAGCCTTTACTTCATCCGATTTAAAGTTGAGGGACATTCACCACGATCCCTCCCCTGCAGTGAAAGAGCTTTTAAAACCCTTGACATGGACTTTTCTCGATAAATCCCCCTTTGGAGGATATACTGTACATATACGCATATTTTTGCATGACATGGATATGCATTGCTCACATACTGTCCTTAGAGAGAGTTTAGTTCAGCTTGAGCTTCATGAAGTCTGATTAGTTCCTTCCTAACATGTATCACCTCTATCTCCAGCAGCTGCTCCTGGTTGGTGGAGTACATCTGCTGCAGGGCCTGCTCCAGCTCATGGTTCCTCTCCAGGAGAGTTTTCCCAAGCTCCGCTGCCAAGTGGAGATCTGTCAAAGCACGGGAGAACATGTAAACACAAGATACAGGACACTTTCAATGCCCAAACACAGGCAACAAATAGAACTAGACTTGTGTGACGGGTAAACACACACACACACATACACACCCACACCTCATTGTCTCACACTGTTAAGTATCTGGCATGGCCAATCACAGAGGAATCTAAGGCATGCCTTGGGATCTCCTTGTCAACATTTCTCCCACAAAATGATCTTAAATTCTGGCCCTTGTCCAGAGACATGTTGACTAGTCCCCTGAAGAGAAGGGAAGCATGTTTTATGTGGAACTCTCCAATAACAATGCGATGACACCAAACATGTTGCTGGCAATCAGCAGTGTATGCCCTGGGATTTTTTTACTCGATCTGTCATGTGGTTACAACAACAACCTTGAGCCCTACAATGAAGTCCTTAGAGTTGTTGGTGGAGAGGATGCTGCTGCAGAAACGCTTATCCTTCTGATATCTACAAACAATAAATCCGATTCAGCCCCACTGTGGAATGCAGCAGGAAACCTTTCCTTCCTGCTGCCATCTCCCTGTGTAACAAGCTGCCTCTGTATCTGCTTTCAGGTTGAGGACAGACTGCCTACTTGGTCCTTGATCTGGTCATTTATCATTTTGTTATAAAAGTGATTCATTTCAGCTGCAACAATCAACTACCTTTAGTGACAATTCATCTGACATAGGCCAAAACAAACATATTTACTTTTTATTACGTCGTGTATGCCAAATGGAAGCATCAAATCCCCCAATTAAGAATCTAAAACCAGTGGTTGTTAACAGTCTTTGCTTTGAAAAATTACTATTACAATATATTGACATACAACAAAATATATTTGTTGTCAATCGACCACTTTTAATACACTCAAAATAACCCATCTGCCTATATATATTTCTTTTAAATATTCAAATCACTGTATTGTAACATACCTGTGAATATGTCAATTAAAAAAACAAATCCATTATGTAATGCAAGCACAATCTAGTAAATAGGTAGCCATACATCACATATTAGAGAGTAAAGTTTTTTAATCAAGCATTAATAAAGTATCTTATGTCTATAGATCTTTAAACATATTTTAATCTAAACCCAACTTTGTAGACTTGTCAGTAGCACAAACAACATGCATGATGAGCAAAAGGTAACCAACAAAGGGCCTGTGACAGCCTCAGGGAACCAGCTTTCACCTCATGACCAGTGTGATGATTTAGTCACAAGAACAGACTATAGACTTCATCATCTGTGAGCCTTCTTGCTAGTCCCATCAGTTTAGAGAAATCTCATATGACCACCAATCAAGCAGAATAAAAGTTTGTATCTCTTATTACTTTTGTACCAGACAAGATGTGGCAATAAATCAGTCATATTATCCTGCTGTCTGTATACAACTGTCCATGCAGTAATTACATCAGCCCACAAAGTCAGACAGAGTTTAGGGTGCGACCGCAGAGCCGAGCAGCTCTTACCATGTTCCAGGTCCTGCGGGTCGTACCAAGCCTCTCCATTCTTGTCAAACTCTTCCTCCAAAATCACGTCACTGAGCATTGTTATAGCCGCGGGGCTGTTAGCGGCTCCAGCTGACAGAAACCTGACACACAGGTTCAGCGGCTTGAAGTTGTTCTCGGTCCACCCCTGTGAGCGGACAAAAGTAAAGTGACATCCTCCCGGCGTGTGTAAAGGCGTTCTGTCTGTTGTCTACAGCAACGTGGCAAATACGCCCCAGCATCCGGCAGGTGGCAGATAAACCACATAATTAATTTAATACATTTTCTAAAATTATAACCCAATATTAAAAATGACTTTCTATACAATTCATAATCTAAATTTGTAGAGAAAATACATTTAATTACTGTTTAACACGTTTAAAAATCGTTGTTCCTGTTTACGTTAACAGACATTTTCTAACGACGAATCACGAAGCAGCAAATTGGAGAACAACACTTATGGCCAATCACATGTTTAGTTGTCTAGAAGCCCCGCCTTGCTCCGTAGAGAGAAATGTGTCCGACGGACTGTTGACTATCGAGCTGTTCCTAATGTGACATTTAGGAAACATTTACTTACGGGAAGAAACATTGTTTAAATGAAAATGTGACACTTGGAAGAACAGGAAGCTTAGTACCGAACGATTTTTTTGCTGTGGAATTATTGACCAACCTACTATCTTTGCTATTAGCAGTAGGCTACTTTGTAGAAATGCTAAATAACAGCGTAACATAGTTGTTAAAAGCGACAACCTTTCTTTGCTCCAGCTGCTTAAACCTGCAGAGAACTTGGTTGTTACCATTTGAGCTGCCATGGCCATGGAGGGGAAACCTGCTTCCGGAAAAGCGAATGTACTTCGTCTCCTGATATATTTGGGGCTCAATCCTGCAGCTGTGGCTTATGCCATGACTACACTGGGGTCTGGCATGATAAACAACATATTCAGCTTCTACTATGTCAAACTCTTTCTCAATAAGTACAAGATATCAGAGGGAGCATTCCACCAATCACAAGTGAGTATTTCATTTTGACGTATTGCTGTTCTTTGTATGCAAATGTCTATCAATGTTATAATAGATCATAATAAATACAATAACACTGCTAGTAGTCAACAGTAATATGGTCCACACAAAGAATTAGGTCTGTTACCTAATTATTTTGATCACTGATAACTAATTGTTTAGTTAATGGGATATCTGGCAGAAGTAAAATATGCTTAACATTTCCCAGAGTGTGGGTTGATGTCTCCATATTGCTTATTTCTTTCAGCCAACTGTCCAAAACCTAAAGATACTCACTCAATTTACTGCTAAAAAGTTCACTCAATATTACAGTCAAGAACTCAACAAGGTGTTTCTGGCCTTACAAAAACACTGCTTTGACGTATGATTCAATTGATACAAACCACAATTTGCTTTAATTAGGAATGCAAGTACAAACAGGAACATTTCCTTGTCCCTTGGGGAAATTGCAAGATTAGCTTTCAGATGCACGTACACACATGACCGAAATGCTTACGAGATAGTCATGTGAAATGGAGAAAGCAGCAAATCCTCTCAATATGTTTCAATATGACTCCTATCTTCCCAGGTGGTGTACATGGTGTGGAATGCGATCAACGACCCTCTGTTTGGATACCTGCAAGATAACTCCAGGGTGCCGTGCTGCTCTCAGCGACGTCTCTCCATCCTGTACGGGGCTCCCCTCTACTCACTGGCTTTTCTTCTAGCCTGGTTCCCATGGCAGACGTACGCCCCCGGGGACTGGCTGAGCGGCGTGCACTTGACAGTGTCGCTGTGTGCTTTTGACGCCATGCTGACTTTTGTGCTGCTGGCACAATGTGCGTTGTTTGCAGAGATTTCGGGGCACCATCAGAGCCGAATAAGACTTGTGAAGTACAACCAGGTAAGGACTTTTAATACATACTGTAACACTTTTTTCATCAGTGAAAAAGTCCATGCTTCTCATACCTCTCTGATACCATCTTATACCTTTTATTTTCCAGGTGGCTTCTCTCATTGGTTCCTCAAGTGTCCTCTTCTGTGGTGTTCTTTCCAAAAACATGGAGGACTTTGCATCCTTCCAAGCCTTCTCAGTTCTGATCGCTATCCTGAGCTGTGGCTGCATGCTCTACACAGGCTTCAACAGCGAGAGCCGCTTCGACCAAGTATCAGATTCAGGGGGATCTGCTGACCAGACTTCCCATCAATCCGCAGTTTCCTTCTCCATGTTGAAATCTTTGACATGGCAAATTCTGAGCAACAGGGACTTCCAGATTTTTGTGTTCATGAACTTCTTTCAGGTGTTCGTGTTAGCTTTCTTTAATAACTTTACCATGATCTTTACTGAGCACCTGATCCCTCCAGATGTGCTTCCATCACTTGCCAAGAGCATCATGTACGGAGCGGGATTCATGTGTCCACAGGTACTGTCTTTGTTTGTGTCCTTTTGTCCTGTCGTCTCGAATGACAATGCTGACTATTAATTACAACTCCGTTAAAACAATTGGAATGCACGTAATGGATATTTTCAGGCAATACCAATAACATTCCTATGGCTGCTAAACTATCATTCAACATTTAATAAAAAAAGGAAACCTGTAGTTATGGCACATCAGAATGTAAAAAAGGCAAAGGTGTAGTTGGAAGATTTGATATTGCATTGCTCAGACTCAACAAAATATCACTGTCTCTATTGTTAACACGGCAAAAACAAACAAATATACTTCTTATTTGTTGTGATGTATACAAAAACTCCAAAACCAACTTTAAAGGTGCATACTGCCCCCTACTGTATCAGAGTGCGTAGATGCAGCACCTTTTAAAGTCAATGAATGCAATGTTTCTTTATTATATCAGCCAATTATTTTTGGCTCTAACTTAAACCATAAGAAAAATACCCAATAATGTAAATATCCCATTATCAGCCCAATATATATTGTGCAGCCCTTACTTTTTGGAAGTCCACATTTAAACTGAGCTCGGCTGCAGCACCAAATGCACCAACAAGAAAGTGTTTATTTACTACTTTAAAAATATAGTATGCTATGCCTTTATGTTTATGTGTTGTTCCTGACTCCTTGTCTCCTTCCCAGCTGTTAGTATTAAGCTGTCAGAGTCTGCTCCACAGCCTCGGCTACTACAGGATCATCCTCTACACCTTCTACATGCAATCTGGAATGTCGGCTATCATGCTCGCACTCGGTCCTCAGCACTATTACATCCTGGCATTTTTCCTCACTGTTAATATGTAAGAGGTTAAACTTACATCTTTCATTGTTTTGTTTTACATTATCACTACAACTTGATAGAATTTAACCTTCACTCTCTTCTTGTCTTTCGTGCAGGGTCATAATCCAAGCAGCCTTCAGTCTCTTTGGCTTACCTTTGGCTGACATCATTGACAAAGACATGCAGAAGTACAAGCGCAGGTAAAATACAGATGATTATCAGCAAACTTCCACTTTTCACATATGAATACACAGAATTTCATCTGACAAAAATACATTGTCTTGTTACCATTGCCAAGATGTTTTCTACTGAAGCCAAGTTATAATTAAACATGTTCCTGTTATTTGACTGGTGATATAATATTATAACGTGTTTTCCCTCATCAACAGTTCCCCTCTCTCCTCCATGGTGTTTGGGACGAACGCTCTGTTCACTAAGCCGGCTCAGTCTCTAGCCCCAATGATCGTGCTGACTATCCTCAACCAGTTTGGATATGAACAGCTGAAGGAAGCAGAAACGGGTTCAAATCCAAGGTATGGAGACGTTCTTGCTTCTCAGTTTATAGATCAGAACAAGTCTAAACTAAAACTGTTAAGATTTGATGTACAGTAGTTTTTATTCAGTAATATTTATTTGCTCTCCTTAACTTGAGAAAACCAACAATCTGTGAAAACTGATATTATAAGAGCTGTTAAAAAAGAAGAACTACCAACATTTCATTGTGATAACTTTTGGTTTAAGTGAAACGCTTGTACAGAAATCACATACCACTACTAAATGTAGTTTATTCTGAGATGTCCTTTTATTTCAGTTACATTGTTTCATAGATTAAGAGATATTTCGGATATGTTGGATATGGGCTGAAAAAGTTAGCACACAAATCTAATTAAAAACAGGCCTGTGTAAAAAATGCTCAAAGAAGATTTGACATTCACTTTATTTAAACACATTTAATAATAATAAACTGTATTTGTATAGCACCTTTCATGCACAAAGCAGCCCAAAGTGCTTTACAGAAAACACAACAACAATATTAAAATAATGTAAAAACATCTACAGTGATAATATGTTAAAATAAAACAATTTAAAAAAGAAAATTTAAAAATGCAAAATAAAAGCAAAACAGAATAAAAATACATTAAAACATGGACAATGATACTGGTGACAATTGAACGTTAATCCAAATGAAAAAGATAGGTTTTTAATTTGCTTTAGAAGAAACATCATCTCTGGAATACACTTTAAACAATCTGCCTAACGTGTTCAGGTTGTTACACTTTCAGTTTCATTATTATAACATTGTGCAACAAGTCAAATGGTGATGCGTTGTAAAATAATTTAAACATAGACTCCCTTTGTGTCTGTTTGCAGTGCCTGGGGGAGCCTCCGGAACGTCATGTTCTACTTGGTGTGTCTGGTGCCCCTGTGTGTCGCTGCGCTGCAAGTCCTTTCCTGGAGGCTGTTTTCCATCCGCAGCAGTCACACGGTGGACACAAAGTACCTCGATAATTAACTTCAATATCTAAGACGGTTGATCTTTCACCAGCTGGAATTTGGGGAACATCTTTTTTTGTGCTATGTGATAATGAGATTATATTTGAGAGAATTCAGGTTTTTACTGAACATGTACTAAATTCACCACTGTAAAGCATCAGTGGTGTAAAAGCACCTGTTTGCTGACAGGTGACACCAAGGAGATACACTGTAAATAATAATTATATTTGAAGAAGTGAAAATATAACCTTTCAAACACTTTCTGGATAACTTGACCAAACATTGTAGAATTGTAATGCTAATCAGAAAGTCATTAAAGGAAAAGAGAGACATACTGTACTGGCAGGGGAAATAAGAATTATATTTCTTCCTTTTAATGATAATAGTAATTGTCCAAATCTTTTTTTTACTTTATTCTAGCAATCCAAGACGTACACTGTTCCAAATACAAAATAAAAACACATGTCATGCAAATACTACAAACAAATATAACATAAGACATAACACATAAGTAGCTGCAGTGCAGTCGACACCATCTTCTTTGCTGTAAACATGGGCAATTTTTATTTCACTCGTTATTATAGTCCAACAAGAAACAATTGGAATTGGATTCCCGCACCAAAAGCAAAGCAAGGGTTTTTGTGCCTTCTAATTATCTTCACTATATAATCAGTACTTATACTCAGTAAAAAAAATGTGATGTAATCACAGCATGGCTCATACCTTTGAGCTTAAAGAGATAGAAGGCATGATGTGTTTTATGTTTATTTAGGATCCCCATTAGCTTTTGCTCTTGACAAAAGCTACTCTTCCTGGGGTGCGACACTTAAAACAATACAACAATAATACAACAATAATACAATAACAACATTCAAGACATAAGTCCTGACATCATTAACAACGTTAACAACATCACCAATATCATCAACAATCTCCAACATCATCAACAATCTCATCCACTTTCAATATCAGCCAAGGATGAGTGCACAAGACACCCACCAGTACAAGGCATGAGATACAATTAAATGAGGGTTCACAGTTCACAAGGGTACTTGGTCATTAGTAGATGGCCCTTCAATCTCTTCTTGAAAGAGGCTCTGGACTCTATTTCAGCAAGGTAGTTCGGCAATGAGTTCCATTCCTTGATTGCTCTATAAGTCACAGAAGATTTCATAAGATTTGTCCTGGGTTTAGGTGCCAGTAGATGGCCTGATGTAGCTTGTCTAGTCTTATGGTCATGCTCGTCTCTTGTGTAAACTATTTGATCATAAAAATACAATGGTTTTTTGCTAAATTGGATTTTTTTTTTAAAAGTGATAACACGAGATTGCAGACGTTTCTCAACCGGAAGCCATGATAGGTTTCTATGCATAACTCCAATATGAGTGCGCTTCGAACAGTGGAGAGCTAGTCTGGCAGCCTTGTTTTGAGCTATTTGTCATTTCTGTATATGTGTGATTGTTGTATAAGTTAAAGAGTGCATATCACAGCTTTGAATGTATAACATTGTGTATGTAAACATCCAACTTGACTTTATGAAGTAGTTTCTAATGTTAACTGGCAGAAACGTTTCTATGGGCATTTGCAGGAAATAAATATAAGGTATTGTACCGAATATGATGAAGCACAAACATATCAGATTTTAAAATGATTGCATATTAGAGGTTTTTGTAATTTAAACGTCTTTTTTTTTTTTAGCAAATACTAAACAATACAAAACGTTTGCCTTGTTAATGCAACATTGTCTATACTGACAATATTGCATTCCTTGTATTGCCAAGGACTGTATGCAAGTCATCGGCAATGTTCCCTTTATGTCATTACATTTTTGAATGAGCAATCTTGTAAAAACTTTTTTCCCAGAATGTTGAAACTAGTTTGTTTTTACCTTAATTGTTGAAAAAGGGAAATTACATTGTCTTCTTGCAGACTTGTTGCACAGTTCAGATTTTTACTTTCATTAGTGAACGATGTGGTAGTTGTTTCCTGAAAATGTGACACTTTCTATTCTCTGTTTCTGAAAATGCAATTCACTATTTATTTTTCTATCAAACAACTTGTATGGAAGAAATTAAATTGATGAACTAAAAAGATGTGCCTCATTTCTGAATTGGTTTGGGTTTTCTTTTGTTTCTTTTCACAAGGTAAACACTAGTGTGATTTTAAAAGGAATTACAATTGTTCTATCACTGCTGAAACTGAAAAACTGAGGATCTTCGTTGTGGTTGTTGTGTTTCCCTTCGTGAGAAAAGGCGAACAAGCACTCGACTAACTTACAGCCTTTGATTTGTTAATTTCCTGTGTCTCTTCACGGCATCCTGTGCCAGGTATCTAACGGCTGTGGAATTTCCTCTCAGTCTGGATGTTGGAGGTCATTTACATCAATGACACTTAGACGTTTTGATAGATGTCATCAGTTGAGCCGTTGAACTCGGTGCCTGGAGCCTGCAAAACAATTGAAGTCTATGAATTACAAACATGCTTTGACACAAGCTTTGCAGAAGGCTCATGCTTACTCAATTTTTCTGTTGACTAAACATACTGCAACAAGATTTACCTCAGCTTGAGAAGGTTTTTTGTTCTCAGCTTTAATGCCTTTCTCCAAATTCCTTTTGCTGTACATCTCTTGCAGGACATCCCGGAAGTGTGTTCTTTTAAAAGAATGTTTCTCTCCGGGAGTCTGAGAAGAAATATGTTATTAAACAGAGATATTTGGAGATTGCTTTTGTTTTGTGTTGTTAAGAAAAGCTGGTGAAAGGCTGCCTAGTCATACAGTATGTGGTAATGTAAGAGCCTTGACTGGACAGTAATTTACACAAGCCTTGGTTCCTGTTCCTCTTTTTGCCTCTGTTGGTTTTTCCCAGTTTAGTAAACATGTGAAACGAATATTAAAACAGAAATCAGATTTAAAAAAAATATTTACAACCTTATCTGTTTCCCCCCTCTTTCTGCAGACGCTCGTTTTGCAGCCACACTGGAACAGAGAGGAACAGGTACATTTCTCATGAACTCTGTAACATCTTAACAATACATAACATTACAAATAAATGTGTTTCAGTAACTTACCTTCTTTAGAATAAGTGTCACTATTGCCAAGCTGTAGATGGCCAAGAGGGCAAATGACAACCAAAGAAGAATGTGCCTCACTAGTGGACTAATGTATTCTGAGAACAACACAAAGGTTGTTAATCCCAATTCATCTACATCAACACATTCAAACATCTGTACCTTTAAAATCAGACACTTACCCGTCACCACAAGAGTGGTACCCAACGCTACATACGATGTGCCCTTTGCTGTGTATCCAGAAAATACTGCACAGTAGTAGATCCCGCTCTCATTTGTGTGAAGTGACTTGATGTTTAAAGAGGCTTTGTCCAGGCTGTACTTGTGAGGATTCTTACTCACGTTGAGAGGAAGATGGACGTTTTCCTTGAAAGCAAACCACTCAAACTGCAAGCCCTCCTTGGTTAAGCAATTTGAACTGAGGCATTTGAGAAAAACAGTCTGCCCTGTTTTCCGCCAGATCATCTTGTTTGGCTGGGATAAGCAGCCCTCCATACTCTCTAGATTAAAAAACAGACATTTAACAGATATAACATTCAGTATCTCCTATCCAGAAATGTTTCAGAGAAAGCAGCTATTGTTGAACAGAAGTAATGTTTGCATACATCTGGTAAAAATGAAATTCCTGAATAGATTATTGCCAAGGACTGATGTAAATAAAGCTGATAAATACAAAACAAAGACATCTTACCTGTTACTGGCAGGTATGAGAGCAAGAGCGAGAAACAAAACAAGCGGTCCATGTCTGTGACAGTCTGTGAATGATTTCATTATTCCTTGCCTCTCTTGCTGGGTGACAACATGGGAAGTAGGTATATTGCACTTCCTCAACACTTAGTTCCTATTTATCCCCCTGTCCTCTGCAGCTGAATGGTTACTATGGATTTGTATAAACATGCATTTCAGTGTGTAAAATCATGTCATGATAACTATGGCATCTGTAATATCAAGTGCAAATAGATTTAATGCTTAGGATTTAGATGTAAATCTATGGTCAGAAATATGCTAAAATATTTTTCTTGTCTGTATAAACAGGAAGACACATCAGACTGTCATTGCCTAATATGAACAACATTGTCTGAAGAAGTGTACTGTTACCTCTGTGCATATAAGCAATGCAGCAATCTAATAAAGGGAAATGTCTGATGTGTGGTTATAGTCTAGAGATGTTTTGAAATCAACATAAAACGTAGAGAAGGGTGAACCCACTGAGACTGTGTGCTGTTCACTAAAAACACTGTCAGCCTATGGTATCATTCAAAGTTACTGCCAATGGTCCTCAACAAAGTCGGCTTTAAGAGATTCGTTAATATTAGTAAATGGAGTCAGATCCAGCTTAAACCTTGTGTTGTGTTCGAAAGCTGTTACCGTTCATGGTGTTCGCGGGTCAAAATTGACCCATATAGATTCACAATATAGTTTGTTGGACAATGTTGTTCATGCCACACCCCCACAAGATGAAGTGTGTTTGTATGTGTGTATGTGTGTGTGTACGTGCTTGTGTGCATGCGTGCGTATGTGTGCGTGCATGTGTGTGTTCAGGTTCAAGTGTTAGTGTAGGCTACATATTCGTTGAGAAAGGTGGAGTTCCCGTGGGGGGAGGGGGGCCGAGGGATGGGAGACCAGGTGCATGTTGCAATTTTTTTTTATTGTTACAGTGGTGGATGAAGAGGGTGGGGCTGGGGTGTCTAAAGTAAAAGAGTAATCTTGATTGGGACAAATTTGAACCCGAGTCACCCACAACAATGCTGCTGGGTATCCCCAGAACCGAACACCAAATTATACACTTTTTTTTAAAACTTGAAACGTGTCACGGGAGACCCGAACACAACATAAGGGTTTTAAGAACCTTATCGTGCAGTTGTTTTGTTGATTACAACATAAAAAAAACAGTGCACTTGGGATTTTAAGGGGGCCTCAGGAGCCTATAGGAGACTTAATGACTGGGGAGCAGATCTTGCATTGTAAAGCTCTGATGTGTGTAGGGTATATACAGCAGCAGCAAAAATCCATGCAGAGTAACCAAACAGGGAACAATCAGAGCATTAGGAAATAATATGACAAAACATTGATATACTTTATCAGGATTGTGCATCATGAGAAATGCAAACAGCAGCAAAATACAAAAATACTACAGCTTAAAAGTATCAGCTACAAGTAAAAGTCCTGAATTCAAAAGTATATGCATAAAATAATAGTTTGGGTACCAAAAGTAGCAGTAATCCTCATGCAGAATGGCACAAATAAGCACCAGATATTTAAAATATATTGTATAATAATTACTGATGCATTAATGTGTTCATAAAGTCAATGATGCAGTCAATGATGCACAATCTTTTTTTATAAACTGGCTAGCTAAACCTATAATAAAATATAATAATGTATTAGTTGATTTATATTTTGTATTTATAATATGAATGTTTTGGAGTAAAAAGAACAACAATCGGCAACAACATGTAGAGTAAAACTGTAGTGTAGCAAAATGCGAAAATACTCAAGTAAAGTATAATTACCTCAATTTTTTATTTAGGTACAGTACTTTGACCAGGCGCCAGCGGGCACCGTGTTGGCTTCCCCTGATATATATTATAACACTGGATCATAATTAGTGATGCATAAATGTGTTTATTATTTTATTTTAGCAAATTGTAAAGAACGAGATACATTTAATTACTTTTTATAATGTCAGGTATCGTCATCCGTAATAGTACATTACATTTCATTAGTCTATTTAATTGTAGTTATTAATAAAATGAACCTTCGAAAATAACAAGTAACTAATCTTGTCAAATAAATAAAAAGTAGCCTACAATATAATTATGCTTCAAAATGGTAATGGAGTAGGAGTATGAAGTAGCATAAAATGACAATACTCAAGTAGTTTTGTACCTCATAATGTACTCAATTACAGTACTTGAGTACTTTTACTTAGTTCCTTTCCAACACTGCATTAAACTAGGCCAAGATTCAAGGCTTTTATTGTCATGTGTACATAACTACAGTGTAGATATATCAATGAAAATGTTAGGTCACAGGGTCCTCCAACAGCGCAACACCATAAAACAGATACAATAGTTCAAATAGTGCACTTTCTGTAGTGATAACCACAACTATAGCTGCTCCTCGCCTACACAGGGCTGAAGTTTGCACCCACTTTGCGTCCAGCTATCTGTAGGCGGGTCTTCTCGGGCTGTCAGTCATATTTTAGTCCAATCCAAATCTCTCTGCGGGTTCTTTTCACGCCCCCTTCCACGTCGACCTGCACACTCGCCATATTTTCAATCGTTTGAAGCCCTCAGCCCGGTTTGTTGCCACATTCTGGAGGAGAAGCTTTCACACAAAACCGCACTAAGTTAAAAAACCTACTTCAAAGGATAAAAGGCGACATCTGTGTTTGCTGGAGTCTGTTAATTCATTCTGCAACCATGAACATCTTCAGACTGACAGGGGACCTCTCTCATCTGGCTGCTATCATCATCCTGCTACTCAAAATATGGAAAAGCAGGTCGTGTGCAGGTAAGACATATATATTGTATAACAAATGCTACAATGTTTTTCCCTGATTTCCTTTGCCTTTCTTTGAATGACTGAAACAAGTAGCTTTCTCTCTTCTTGCCTTGTAAGCTCCAAGCTAGCTAACGTTAGCTACATGCATACGTTTACAACCCATTCATTTGAGTCTACGGCTAACATCGTTAGCAGTCAATGGGCTAAATTTATCTGGGCTTAGGTAGTCACTAAAGTGCCTGCTGTTTAGTAGATGAAGGATCAAAGTAATACAGCGTTTAACTTGTTTTTGGGGGGATATTTCTTCAATTTCACTAGTCTGTTTAGCTTTCTCTACTTATGTTGTCTAAACATCACACATCCATTACTCCTGCTCTGTTAATTTGAAGTTTGGTGCTCGATTCTTCTAGTCTGGCATCTGACGTGGCGTTCGAAAGGCGCTACGGAAGTGACTAACGTGCTAGTTTAGTTTGTGTTACTCTGTTATTTACACTTTTCTCTGGGTCTCTGTATATATTAATTGGTAAAAAAAAACATTTCTGGTGTGCAGTCCACAGCAGTGGATCGTACCTTTTTAATTATGAGGAGACGTGTTGTGACTGGCCTCCTGCAAATTTGCTGGGTTGACTAAAGGTTCTAAGTTACTGGAGGTTATGTCAGGTGGTCACAACCATGGTCACAACTCAGAGTTTGTAGTGTTTATGTATAGTCTATGCAGGGTAAGATATCACGTAGTTGTATCTTCATATACGATTGTACTTAATAATACCAGGTGGGCGGTGGGGGTAGTAATCAAGTACATTTACTCAAGAACTGTAGCTGCACACATTGCTGTTCAGTCAGTGCTTTTCATCTTTTTAAAATCTATATAGAAGTTTATTTGTGATTTTTTTTTTTACAAAAATGTAAACTATCTGAACAAAATTAAAGCATTAGTTATGTTGTTGCAAGCTACATATATTAAATGCATTATAATTCCCTGCATCATAAATAATGATTTAATAATATCAGGGCCGGCTCTAGACAATTTGCAGCCCTAGGCGAGATTTTAGCTGGCGCCCCCAGCCAGAGAATCGTACAGTAGAAAAGATAAAGATCAATAAAGTATCCAAGGAATACACAATCAAGTAAAATGCTTCAATCTGGTGCCCTTTGAGCATAATTACTACTAGATCTAGGCGGTACAACTCTAAAACACCCACATGAAAAAGATTGGTTTACATTTTAATAATCAAATAAGTATATGAACATAACCAATCACCTACCATAGCCAATAACAAATAAATTATTTTATTTTTGTTGTTCATTCATATCTTATTTTACCTAGTTAACATTTATTTATGCATATTTTTTTATCTCTCCAGTTTTAAAGGATATTTTTGGTTACTGTCCTATAGTATACATTGGAATGATTTCAAACCTGTTCATCCCAATAATTATAAAGGAGTGCCTTGGAAATATGTGTTTACATCAATTGTGATCAAACCGTTTGAGACCCACTGAGATAACTTAGACTAAAGTGAACTATCTAAACACTCAGAGTCCTTTACCTGTTGTGCACCGACAGAAATGTTAAGGGAGTTTCATTTTCATGTTGTTTTATGTTTGTTTTGTCACTCATTATTTACCTGTCATTCCAGGCTTCCTGATTATCTACCTCTTGTGTGTCTCCCGTGCTCATCAGCACCAGCCCCGCCCCTGATTGTTTCCACCTGTGTCTTGTTGTCGTGTGTTTAAATTCCCCAGTCTCCCGGTGTTCATTGTCAGTTCGTCTTGTCTCATGCCTAGGTCAGATATATGCTCTCCTTGATACCAAGATGTTTTTGTTCCTCACTACATGAGCGATTTTCTTTTGTTCACTTTTTGTCATCTCATCCTAGAGATTTGATAGTGTTTATTTCTGTTCTTCTTTTGAAAATAAAGTATCTTACAAATACTTTACCTCTGTCTCCTGGGTCGTGCAATTGGGTCCTATACCTTGAGTTTCTGAGTTCGTAACATTACCTCACTGAGCTGTAGTTATCAGCCTCTCAGTCTGACTGGAGAGGACTCTCCCTCCACATTATTGTAGAAACATCTTCTTCTTATATCCGTTAGCAGCTAGCACCAGATTATAATAACAGCGCCGGTACCGGTGCGCTCTTCTCTCTCTCCCTCGCTCGCTCCCACGCTCACTCGCCCTTTGGCTGTGAGCTGCGGGCGCCTGATAAGCCAACATCCCCCATTTTCATCACTTACAGCGCCCATCGTACAGGGCAAATGAAAAGTTT